ATATATGTGTATTAAGAAATTACCAATCCAATTATTAAAAGAAACATAATAATTGAAGAAAATAATTTTATGATATTACTATTTCTTCTTTTGCCCATCTTTTTTTCTCTTTACCATTTCTATATCTAATATGTTTAAACATATTAAACTTATTATACATATGTGAATATTAAAAATAAAATCATAATATTTTTATTTTAACTGTATTAGTAAAAAATGACATTCTTTTAGTTTAATAAAATAAAATAAGAATTTCTTGCTTCTCTTGTTTTACTTTGATTAACTTAAACATTAATTTAATAAACTTAAAAATTTATTTGATAAATTTAGAAATAGAGAATAAATCTTCTTAATTTAATGACAATATTAAAATTATCACATTATGTATTATTTCAATAATTCAAATATTAATTTTAATCACTATTGAATCAAGAATATATACTCCAATTACGCGTGCTGTTGAAAATTTTATTGATTCAACAAAGAGAGAACCGTCCAACTACGATGTCGGAAAGACAATAGACGTTCGGCGGCACATCGAGCGATACTGACGCGGCAGAGATAAAAGACTAACGTTAGTAGGCGCGCTATGGTCTTTTAGACCGCTAAAAACGTATCAAATTTTACATAGAAATAAGCGCGCTACGTTGTCTACTTCTCCATGCTATACGAGAAAACATCAAAGAAAATTTACGTAAAAGCGAAAATACGATAATGTCAATAGATTAGGTGATATAAGTAGAAAACGAAAAAGTACGGGGAAATGACCGATACGCGCCCACTCCCGGATTAAAAAAAATATTTGCAATATTTTTTTCACTGACCATCCAACCATTATCTTTTCTTAATACACACATTTCATGTCGCATCCTTCCAAGATCATCGAGAGATTGATTTTCAAACAGACATCGATTACGACGAAAAATACCACTTGAAAAGTCGAACTTACCCTGACGAAGGGCGACAGAATCTGCTGCGGTACAGACTGTGCCTCATTCATGAGATATTGAAACAGATACCCGCACGCTCTCACGCCGTTCATGACTATTTGCACTCTATCTGCGGCCAAGTATGAGAGTATTACCGCGCACACGCGGTCCTTCTCCTTGGGATTGTATACTGTGGCGGGTGATTCCTTCAGCGCTACGAAAAGCGCGGCCGAACGTCCGTGTCTGAGCATCCAGTCTGCGTTGACATCGTTACCTAATCGAATGTCCAATTAATACAAAAGCAAAACATTTCATTAATAATCTTCAATCGCAAATTGAAGTTCCCATTAGTTAATTCTTGCAAACTCACATAAAAGATGATCATTAAACGCGATCGCCAGCTGTTCTGGGCTTAACCAGCGTAACAGGGCGCCAAAGCAACCAGCAACTGCGTTCCTCGTTACGTCCTCCGGATGACTCAGCATACTGCTGAGCGTCGCGAATACTTGCTTCTTCATCGGGTCGGTCATTTTGTCGCCAGCGGGCGTTAGCACGCCTCTGAGAGCTTGCAACATCGTTTCCCTGTACAAGAAAGTATCAATAGTAAATTCTCGAAACACAACAGTCCTATGTGCATAGATATGAGCTACAGCTCCATATTCTGAACTCTTATCTATCGCTAAAAGCACTTCTAAAAGTAGCTTATAAGCTTTCCAATCGATAAATTACTTTTAGAGACGCTTTTAGCAATTTAGCAAAAAGAATTCAAGAAATATGGGCCATTATATAGAAATAATATAGAAATAAATTAGAATAATATAGAAATAAATTACATGGAAATAATCGGGACTACCTTATCGCTGGATCATCTCCTGTCTTAATACCGGTATGAAGCTCCGTGAATAAAGGATCTACACGTGTGTGGATGACAATCAAATTACTGAGAGCATACGCTGCTTTTAATCTGACTTGTCGATTGCTGTCGTTCAAAGCTCTCAGAAAGGTAGTTTGTAGTTGTGGCAAAAATTGTTTCAGCATAACACCAACCTATCGATTATATCGATATGTAAAGTATATCAATAATTTCGATAATATTCAGAATTATTATACATACTTTTCCAAGCAATATCGCGAGTGTCTCCAGTACGGCCGCCTTGACGCTCCAGTTAAAACGATCGCCGAGAATTCGGATGAGCGGGCCGGTGATCTGCACCACGCTTGGTTGCAATGCGGACGCGCTCGACAACCTTATGACTTCTCCCAATCCTTGAGCAGCGTGTTCCTTTGCCTCCGGCAGACCGTTCAATATGGCCTCTCGGAAGATAGGTAAAATTGGCGTGATTCCTTTGGGAAGACAGAATCCGGGCAAGAGTTCTTGGCCCTTCAGATCAGATACTGCAAATCGAACAGCTTGCCTAATGTCTTGCACATGTGCTATCTGTTGCTCCGACGATAGAGTCTGCAAGAAGTAACAAAAACGCAACAGAGAGTTAGCTAATCTTCTTAGAAAACTGCATCTGCAATCGTGTCTTATATCGTCCTTACTATATTTATTTAAATTAATACTCGACAAGCGCAGCGTACTCGCCTTGGTTACGGCAGTGAGCGCCTCCCAGCTCATTTGCAACACGTCTTTATCCTCGTCGGTGAACAGATGGATCAGACCTCTTAACAACTGCGGCACATATTGACTGTAATCTGCGCGAGTATCACGACAAAACGCGCAGAGTAATGTCGCGGCGCTTCGCCGTTTTGAGAGATCCTCCGCTCTCGTGGCTTCCATCAACTGATCCATCACAGTCCTAACGCCTACTTCGTCGGTAACGGAAAGCACGACGGCTTGACAGTATTCGAGCTCCTGCAGCTCATTCGCGGTTCCTTGAGCACTGGAAAGAGCAGTGAGTAATGCTGGCAAGATCCTGTGAAGGAACCGTGTCAATGCTTCACCTGCCACGCTGGCCAGTATCGAGAGTGCTTTCGTGTTAACCGGCGGTGAAGCTAACTGCGGGACCAGATACGGCAGTACGACGCGCGACTTGATCGCCATCACTTGGCGCAAGCCGTCCAACGTGTTTTCCGCCTCGGCCGTATCGGGCGAATTCAATTGCGTTAACATAGCCGGTAATATATCGTCAAGAGCGCGAACGCCCACCGTGGAATGCAGACCGTCGAAAGTTTTTGCCGCAGCCTGCCGAACTTCAGGTAACGGGTCGCAAAGTGCTTTTCTGAAACGAGACAACAACGATACTTCTTTTAACTCGCATTTCATGATCATGAAAAAACGTGGTTTACGATTCTCGCGCTTTGGTTGTATGAGACTTTCGCTAACTAGTGTTCAACTCACCTCACCGTCGGCACAAGACTTATAACAAAGGTCAAGACCATGTCTTTGTTGGTGCTCGCCATGATCTCCGACAGACCAATGCACACTCCTTGTCGCTGATCGGCTTGATCACTCTGCAAACCTTTCTCCAAGATAGGTATGATCTCTGGCAAAACTCTCTCTCCTAGTTTCCGAACCAGGTCGCCTAATGTCCGGGCGGCTACTTGTCTCTTATCATAACTTGTGCTCGCTAAGCATCCTAGCAGGAGAGTGAATAGTGTCGGTAGTATCTCTCGTAGAGTTCGCGGCGTATTGGTCACTACAACCTTCCAAACGTGAAGAGCCGCTTGGCGCACCATCAGAGCTACGTCTGAACGACCCATATACAAGCCAGCTAATACACGATTCCGTCTCTCGGCGCCCAGAGCGTTTATGATAGCGTAGTGCGATTGTTCGGTGCCGAAATTGTCGTCTTCGCTTGCGGTCTCCGTTGACATCTTGCCGGACACACCGGAGATCCTGTACAGCAGATCGCCCAACAGCTGCACGGACGAATAACGGATGCGCCAGTTATCGTCGAAAAGACCTTTCTCCAGTTCCGGCAAAAGCAACATTATAGCAGAGTCGGCGTAAAGATTCACGATACGTTGCCCTGCTCTCAAAGCGGTCTCCCGCACGTATTCGTTCTCGTCAGCAAGAGCCTTGAGTATGGGGTTGATGATCTGACCGATGTACGGTGTAAATTCCGTAGTGAAAGCGCTTGGCATGTATATGAACATCATGATATAACCATCTTTCACATGAGGCGCGATGTCGGTCCTCTCTGCCGTGCTGATGATCTCGGGCATGAGCTTGTGAAGCTTCTCGACTCCCAGCCCACGCACCACCTCCGAGAGACCCTGAGCGGCACCGGATCTATCGACGCTACTACTCTCCGAGGTGAGAGTCTGCATCAGCCAAGGCAGTAGGTCCTCGAAACTTGATTCTCCCATACCGCGCACCATTGCGCCTAACGCTCTCGCTGACACGCTGCGGACTTCGGGTACAGGATCCAGCAGACTCGTCTTCAGACCTGGGATTATAGTTGGCAAATACGGGGTCAAGTCTTTCTGGTCCGTCAACGAATACATGTTGCCGATGATCTGCGCGGCCATCTTCCTGGTTTCAGTGGAGCGGTCGAGAAAAGCACGCTGCACCACGGGCATGATCAAAGCTAACGAGGGAGCGTCGATAAAGTGCACGAATTGAGTGTCCAGTAATGTTTGCAAGCAGGTGGCGGTCTTATGCGAAGGATCTTGCAACGCTTTCAAGAGTACCGGCACGATGGCTTGGATCTCCGGATTACGGATGACGCTGCCAATGACCTTGAGAGCCTCTGCGCCGGCCTCCTGCACTTTCGTGTGGGAATCACTTAGCACTTCTATTAGTTTGGGCACGATACTTGGTAAGCAGCTGCTTAACTGTTTCGGTGCACAGTAAGCCATTGCGCCCAGTAACTCGACGGATCCTAAAAGTAAAAAATAATATAAGAAAAAGGAAAATAAAATAAAGAAAGGTCGGTTCTCTACTTTTAAACGCTCTGTCTCTACATAGAACGTAGCGTGCAAAATTTATTATATTTTTGCTTCTTTTTTTGCTCACCCGTTTTCGTCCTCCACGAGTCTTCCTCCAAAGCCGCTAGCAGACTGGGCAGAACGAGTTTGACACCATGGGCAGAGAGCTTGCTCATAACCACCCGGGCAGTGTCGTCGGTGGCGGCTCTCACATACTGACTTGAATCACCGAAGCATAACAGCAAATGCGGCAGTACGTGAACGATATAAGGTTCGAATAGCCTTCCGAGCATCGTGCATAACATCTCGAAGGCGAATAGCGCTCCCTCGCGATGTCGGTAGTTTTTCTTGTCCTGGATAGCGTTGGTCAACGTGGTCATGATGTCCAATTGCTTGAGCGCAAGTATCCCCATGCCCTTGATGATACCCGCCAATCCGTAAGCCGCGCCTTTACGCTCACCATATTTATCAGACTTCAGCAATTGATCCATTAAATTATCCACGATTTTCGGCGCATCCTCCTTGATGGAAGGTACTAGGTGCGGCAGGCAATTCGCCACGGCCTCTTGCACCTGCTGCGACGGGGTGGAGAGCGCGGCTATCAGTCGCATCACGATGGGCTTGATGCGCAGATCGTCTTTGTCCAAATGTCTCGCCAAGGAACCCATGAGGATAACGACCGACTGTTTAATCGAGTCGAAACTGCCAATCTTCGGCGCCTTGTCCATGAAATCCTCGAACACAGGCAACAAAGAGGTCACGTTGACCTTGCCGTGAAGGTCGACCGCGGCGACTGCGGCAGTCAGCATCTCCGTGCGCACAGATTGATTCCTGTCGCCCAATCCGGTCGAGACGAAGAATTGTACAAGCCGGTGTATCGTGTCGGCGGTGAGAAGCGGCGCTATCTGCGCCAATGCGAGAGCTACTCCGCGTCGTGGTCCCCACGTGTCAATTGGTTGCTCGATCACACGACCAAAGTCGTTCAGTTTTGGCGGAATCATGGCCAGTTTCTCTTGATAGAGTTGCAGCACATTATCCAAAACGGACGGCGTGAGATGCGGTACAGTGGCCAAACACTGTGCCAGCGCGTGCGCGGCCGCTTGCTGCACCGGCTCCACGGGGTGCGCGATGTCTTGGATCAATTCGTCGCAGAGTACCTCTGCTCGCGCGGTCAGCTCGGCCGCGTTCCACAGCTCGTTGGCGAGAATCTTGTTCTCGTCGCTCACATCAAACCGGGCGATCCATACTCTCCTGGTGAGCCTGTCTAGTTGATCCTGATCTTTTTTGTGAGATGGGAAAGCTTGGCGTATCACTGCCAATCCTCGGAGAGCGGCGTCCCTCACAGTGGACAATGAGTTCTGCAGCGCGCCGATCAGAGAGTCAATGTCCTCGCTGGTCGCGATTGCCGTGCCAGGTTGGCCGCTACCAGAATGTGCGACGTCCAGCAAAGTCGCGACCGCGTGAGACTGCACCCGACCGGTTGTTTTCTCCATTAGTTCGATTAGCAGGTCGAACATCTGTTTGCGAGGCAAGAGTCTGGGATGCCTCGGGTCCTTCAGCTCGTTGGTGCTGCCTCTCTGCTTGGCGTGTTCCTGTATCAGTTGCAATCCTTGTACAATCATACCGTCGTCCTTATATGTCAACAGAGTCTTCCTCACGAACGGGAACACATAGCAGAAGGCGGAGGCCGTGAATAACTCCTTCTTTTTGATCGTTACCGTATGGATCAAATTCAATGTTCTCTTTACCGCCACGTCGAGATTTTCCTCTTCCCAGGCTGGGTCCAGGTCACATTGCGGCTGTAGTTGCCGCAGTGTGACGTGAGCGATTAGATCGCCCAAGATCGCGCTGTTGTCTATTGTCACAGTTTGACGAAGAGCCAAAAAAAGCTCTGCCATCTCAGGTGCAGCTAACGGAGAACCCAGGTTCTTCAAGATCGACGGCAGGAAGTCCTTCAGGTACAGAGACAATTCCTGTCGATTACCACGTATCGAGCATGTGACTAGAGACACTGCAGTGTCGATCTTGACTTTCAACTCTGTCAATCTCTTGCGAATGCCGTTTTCCTTCGCAATCTGCGCCTTCAGAGTCTCCTCTTGCTTCGGCGTCAGCTTTGGTTCCTTGATCTTACCTTCCCTCTTCCGTTTCTCGTACAACTCGCGCCGTAGCTGAAGCTCCTCCTGTTGTTCCTTGAATGAATAAACTTTACTTTCTCTCTTCATGTTCATTGAATTGAGAATGTCATTCTCGTCGTTGACAGGCAACACACTCTTGTCATAAAGCTCACCCTCGGGAGTGAGATACGTGAAATACTCGTCCTTGGTAACTCTCAGAATCTCTGGATCGTCCAGCTTACTAGTCACGTTTGATACTAATGCGGGCAGAAAAGCGTCCGGCGCCAAGGACACAACCTTTATGAGCGCGTTCTCGTAATTCGCCAGCGGTCTGTAGTTCTGAATCAACATCTTCCTCACTTCGCTGCTGTAGCTACGCAGGAAGTCCTTGGGCACGAGATTGTAGTTCTTGGCTATCTTAAACCACAAATTCGGCATAGCCTTGAGCAACGCCGGATGATGGGACGGAAGCAAGGCGTCTCTGGTCATCTGCATGGCGGGAACGTCGAACAAGAAAGAGCCAGAGCACAGGGCGAACAAACCGTCCGCGAGACACCGACCGGTGATCTCCCCCATCGAGGATTCCTCTCTGCTCTCTTTGTCCGTCTCCGACTTGATCTTAACATTTTCTAGAAACTTGTTGAATTCCGCCAGGAGAGCCTGTGCCGGTGCGTAAGTGCTCAAGCCGGTCATGACTTTCTTCACCAACGGGAAGCACCGTTGTCTCGTGGTGGAATTCGGCGCGGTCGCGCAGGACACGACAGCGCGGTGAACTCCGTTCAACGCTTTCTCGTTCAATCTATCGGAGAACTCGCCGACAAGTCGTTCGCAAAGCAACATCAGATGATACAAGATGTCGTCGCCGCAGGTCGACAGGAACTTCTCAGAGAAAAAGATCTGCTCATCAATCGCGCTCCACAGCACACTCTGCTTATCGTTCTCCACTTGGTCGGCCAGCACGAACTTCAGCAGCAGATATGAGGCGACCAGACCCTCGGTCACCGCTGTTGGCTGCGCGCACTGCTGCATAGCTCTGCTTATCGCCTGCGCGAGAGTTGGTGCTATCACGCTCGCGTAAGAGGTGGCGGAAGTCGAGAAGAACAGCTTAATGTAAGCAGTGCGCACCGCAGCGGTGGATGTTTTCGCCGCCATTCCTTTCTTGAACGCGTCCACCACGCTCTTGGGCACATTGGACGAGAACTTCTTCGACCACAGTGCCATCATCTCCAGAGCGTGTATCAACGTCTTCTCGTGCACCTCGGTCTCAAGGACTTTGACGAAATGCTCACACGCAGTCTCCGCCAATTTCTGCACGCTGCTGCCCGACGCCGCGTTGTAGCTGAGATTGCCGGCTCCTTGCAGCACGGAGATCTTGTGAGTCGCGACTGTGAGCTTGCCCTCGGAGCCGTGGAATACCGCAAACACTGATGACAACAGCGACTCCAAAGCCGTGGTATCGGAACATTGCAAAGCAAGTTTGCGACAAGCCCCGACCGCTTTGTCACGCACCAAGTCTTCTTTGGAGTGTAGATTGGCAAACAGCCCTTTGCTAATCTCTAGGCAATATTGGCTAAGGTCGAGACTCAGTCCGTTCAATATGTGACCGACCGATTCGATTATAATTTCTGGATTCCGCAACATAGCTTTCTGCAGGGCGGGAAGCAATTGGTTCTTGAATTCCTCATGGGTCAATCGTCGAAGAAGCGGTACGGCTACGTCGACTACATATAAGTCCGGTTTCTTCTTGCAACTGATAGTTACTTTAATAAATACATCTAACATGTTTACCTGAAATTTATGTAAATTAATATGCACGTCTACAACAGTGGCAGCATATTTATTGAAAATCATTAACACTAAAACTAACATTAACACTAAAATTAACATTAACATTAACACTAAAAACAAAAGAATCATAATGACAGATTTATAATTTCATACAAATATTACTTATTTATATAAAACAGTGCAATTTTTATATTTCTAATTGATGCTGAATAAAATGAAAAAGAATAAACAATTTTACCTTTGCATTACAAAAACCTGTAATTTGAACTGTTCTGATAGAAATAAGTCATTACTTATTGGTAGCTACTAGTGTTAACATAAAATTACTGTCATTTTTAGTTTTCTTACCTTCAGCTGTTCCACCAGATCGTTCCTCTTGGAGACAACTAGATATTTGGTGAGCAAACTCGCCAAAATTATCGTACCATTCCCAATTTCCAGTTTTGTTAAATTTTCCACATATATAATCTCTATGTCTTTCATAATTGTCCATTCATGAACAAGTAACATGTATACCTTGTTTGAAAGCTTCACATCACCAGATGCAACAGCTGCAGCAGATAGATTTGCTTGAGCTTCGATGAGCTTTGGTAAGATCTGAGTAATATCCATTTCTTTGTTATATCCATAGAGAATAACTAACGTCGACCATTTCAATGCAACATATGCAGTTAAAGAGGTATTTAAACTAGAAAAAAATAATATTTTAAAATAACACCATTAAATCATTAAAGATAGAATAGAAATATCAATTCTCAATCTCTATAACTTACGTAGCAACCACATTCTTGTGCCAAATGGCTTGCTCCGTGATCACAGCTGTCATATGTTTGACAGTTGCTTCTGGTTGTTTCTTAAGCAATTCTACGATCAGGTTTCTCACGTAGGATTGCGAAGCACTGTCTTTGTACCTATGTAAGGTAAGCGATAGAATTTTACATACTCCGTTGACAATTTTCTCGTTAATGCCTGCAACGAACGAGAAGGTAGATCACATATCCGCTCGATCATCGATACGCCGTTCGCGCACAATTTGTATGTAAATCATGAAAGGCGCACAACAGCATCGAGAGTGAATCTTGCCTCTTCTCTCCGGATCGCCGGCAGATGCCGAAGTCACTTATCTCTTAATCAAAAATTAAAACATTCCTCTCGCAATACTCACCGGGATTTGACAACACGCTGACGACATTTTGCAAAACCTCACGCCGCTCCTTTTTGCTGGCGGTCTGAACTCGATTCGGTAGATCCTTTAGAGCTTTTGCTAACTGCAACAAAATATGTGCCGATTACAAAGCGCCGAGCCGCAGGCATACGATATTTTCTCGTGCTCCACGTGACTAACTTACCTCGACATCCGCCATATTTCTTCAAAAACCGGACCGATACTAAAGCGCCGCTCTTCGCGACCACGTATTTCGCGCAAATGTGATTAGAATCGTGACTGTCGTGTCCTTTTATTTCAATCGCTATCAGAAAATGCGCCACTTCGCGCTATTCTGTTGCTAATAAACATAAACTTATTTACGAATTATATTTATTTACTTCGAGAAAATTCCCAATATTACTCTATTGCCTGTATGCTCCATTTATCGAGTGCGTTTGCCTGCTTATTACTGTAATATCGGTTCAGCAGAACATATGGTTTATAAAATTGGGACTTTATTTTAGACGCATATTAAACCTTTATTTTTCCTTGTTTAAGAAACCAAAAGCAACTGTCAAACATATGACAGCTGTGACACGGAGCAAGCCATTTGGTACAAAAATGTGTTTGCTACGTAAGTCACAGAGAATGAGAATTGATTTTCTCTATTCCTATTTTTAATGATTTGATACACTCAACATACCTGAGAGATCTAGAAATTAACCTATAAAATACTCTTCGATATTATTTCACTGTTGTTATTTTTACTGCAATTAGAGTCCGTTGAACTTTATTTTTTCATAATTGAAAAAAATGATCTTTTGAATTTAGCGCGTAGAATATGCTGTTGCCAGCATTGAGTCATACTACTTGAAAACAAAAATATTTCGGATAGACTCATAATGTCCACGTATCAGATTATGAATTCAGTAGTGCGATTTTGCAAATTGTTGACGTTTCATCCGATTACAAATATCACAAATACAAAATAATTTTTTTCATATTTTAATCAAAAATAGAAAATGCCTTTAGGTTTGTTCGCGTCGCATGCCCCTACTCGCTCCAACGCATTCTGATTGGTTCACGTCACCACGCGGACCAATCAGAATGCGTTGAAGCAAGTAGGAACACGTTGAGACATGCGACACGAACAAACCTTTTGCCTATCTCACGGTTCTTCGCGAGAGGTCTCCACTATGGGTGCTTTCCAATGAGTGGGACCCGATTGACCACGGGACAATTGGACACAGATTGTAATAATTGGTTCGATCTGGTAATTCACTAGATAATTCTTTGCATCGGTTAGTTGATCCAATATATATTGATTAAACATAGAGTTATTATATATATATACACACACACACAAATATATGCATCTATTTGATATTAACTGTATTGGTACACATGTATAATAAGTATTTTGCTAACACATGTATGAACATAATCTAAAACATGATCTGCAAACATTATATTTAAAAAATGTTATGTATGTTTCAAAAATTAATATTATATATACATTACATTTTTTCATTGTGATACTTGTGTATCACGTTTTATTAGATTATGTCGATGTACTTTGATGACAAATTACGATTTTAATATAAGCTCATATAGTTGATGCCAAATTAATGTTTGATTTAATCTTCTTGTGTATTATTTATTTTACATATACTTGCATATTACTTTGACATATTTTGGTTAACTGTCACATATAATTGTTGACACAGCCAATATTTGTATTTACTGCTCCTAAATTCACTGAAAAAGATACACAAGGAAAAGAGATTTGATTGGCTGAATACTGCAGCAGTGAAGTTATATTGAACTGAATACACTCGTTTCGGTAACGTTAGTATCACATTTTGTATCGATACGATATCGCTAGCTTGAGTTACAGAATAGCTTTTTCGTTACAAGTCGTTAGCGCAAGCGACGATCGTCGCTACGTAACGATAACGACGTTGTCGTTAGAAAGTTAGAGAATAGGTCTACAGTGCTGGGATTCTGTAACTCGTTATTGGAGTTAACGACAGTTTCGTTATCGTTGCGCAGCTTTTGTATACCGTAGAAAAGCTGCGCAACGATAACGAAACTATCGTTAACTCCAATAACGAGTTACAGAATCCCAGCACAGGGCCAATCGAGCACACTAAAAGTTTACGATAAAAGTCGTTAATCAAGTAGTACGCCTCAGCGACGAATCGGACGGACTTCCTTTTACTTTCAAGTAGTACGATTGAACGGAGAAAACATTGCGTATGATGCAGTACTGATAGTACATTCCACTTAGACCAGTATCAGAAAGAGAGATTCAACGGAAAGTCAAATGATCTTTTTACTTTCGAGCATACTACGCGCGCCAAATCAGCACATAACCTCCACGTCGCAGTGATATCACTTTGAGCAGGTGTGTCATATAATCATATAGGTTCGAAGACGTCAATATAAAAAGAGAAAAAAAGAGTTAGTGTCACCTTTGAGTTCGCTTTTCTTGACTCGTCTGATAAGATAATCAGCAAAAAAGAAACGAAAGCACCGTCAACGTGCACTGTTCCCTTCTCCAAATCTCCTCACGTTCCTTCTCGCGAAGAGTTGACAAATTTTCGAGCGTACGAGGATAATGTCTGACCCGCGCGTAAGAACGCTTAAAATCAAGACTGGTGTGGTAAAACGTCTTGCGAAAGAAAAAATTACGTACGAGAAAGAAGCGGCGCAGCAGCGGGAAAGGATACAAAAATTGAGGGAACAAGGTGAGGATTGTTTTTCACGCATTAAGACTACAAAGTACATGATTCTTAAATGTGAAACGTGCGACTTCGAAATGATTCGTCTCGTGTGGCAAATTTGAAGTTGACTGCTTTCTGTACACAGTTTTTGCTATCACACTGTGTAGTGAAAATAAGTTTAAACTATAAAATTTGAAGGAAGCTGGTCACTTATACATTGTTCTCAAAATTACATCTCTAAAATATACATTGCTGCTAAGTATTTTTATTTACATATAATACAAAATGTTTAAAATTGCAAATTCTTTTGCAATTTTTAAAAATTATTAGTTGTCTTTTGTGATATGTTTGTATAACATTAACATATTCATGCTATCTCATTGTCACTCACAGACAAAGATGGCTACGATATAAAGAAGCAAGAAGAGGTGCTTCAAGAATCCCTTATGATGGTACCAGACTGCCAACGGCGTCTTGTTAAAGCATTTGAGGAACTAAAAAAGATCCTGGATACTGAGCAGGATTTGAAGGAGTTTGAGGATTACATTGAAGCTGAGAAGGTGCTGCAAGAGGCGGAGGCGCAACTACCCAAGGAAGGAGACATCTTGCAAATGTGTTAGGAAGTGCTGCAGTGACTTTCACAAAATTATTTCTCAACTATTATTTGGACAGTGTTGCTCACCACTTTGATTAACGACTACTTACGACCGAGGCGGATTATTAATTTTACGCCTTAAAAAATACACGTAGCATTACATTTCTGTTTCTTATAGTTAATCGAACACTTAAGTATACTAAGCAAACATGTACAGCAGTCAATCCAATGAGAGAAACACTATTCAACAGACGTATGGAAATCCGCATTTCAACATGTATTATCCGATGACTCAGCAGCAATTCGCGTACGATGCGAGTTATAGCCAGAGTATGCATTACAATGTTTATCCAAGCCATTTAACATGTGATAACAGTATCGTTAATGACGCGATAACGTCGATCGATGGATTAAGAGCGAAACAAGAGGACGAGCGGGCCATTGAACAATTCATCCGGGAAACCGACTTGAAAACTCCCAGGCAAGACACCCGAAAGAAAGAGCCGTATAAGATTGCGACGATGAAAAGCGCATTGATAACGGTGGCAAAATTGAACAAGAAACTCACGGCTGTTTGGATGGAGCTCAAGAATAATGTTGATCTACCGGCAGCGCAATGGCAGGAGAAGATCAACGCCTGCGAGGCCATCAAGCATGAGATCCGTGAGATCTTACGCGGCATAAACGACCCAGACTTCATGAATAAAGTGAAGAAGGACTTGGAGAGGCGCAGGAAGAAAAGGCTGAGGGAGCAGTCCAAGAGAGAAAAGTGGAAGGAAGAGAAAATAATGAGAGCAGAGCAGAGAGCCAGATTGCACGTAAAGGCGGACTCGTGGATCCGCAAGGAGCAGGCGGTGATCGAGCGCGAGAAACAGGAAGTGAAGCTGCGCAAAGATGCGGACATGATCCTGTCCGACGTTCGCGGCAAGAGAAACGACGCGCGCAAGTATCTAGGGGTGTTGCAGGAGCTTCAGAATTTACGAAGGATCAAGTTGAACATCGCCCGTGCGAGAGGCGAGCATTTGTCGTTGGCAGCTGACGAAGCATTTCACAATATCATCGGTAGTATTTTATCGTTCGCGGCAATTTTTTAATGCGACGTTTCGCTCACGCAAGGCCTTATTTTTATTTTAGGCCTGAGTATCAATCATGCATCTTTTTCCTCAATTTCATGAGAAATGAACATTTTTTACTACTTTAAAGCATTTGAAAGTTTTCACGAGTTTAAACCAAAAGAAAAAATACATGATCAGTCTCTTGTTCTTTTTAACTGAATTAATGCTGCACTGGAACTTGTTTTTTTGGCCTATATTCTGAACCCTCTTTTATCGATAAAAGTGCCTTGAATATAGCTTTTCAACCAATCAGGTGGCTCCTAAGCCTCTTTTAGAAACACTTTTATAGATAAAAGAGGATTTAGAATATGGGCCTTTCCCTTTGACGCTCGGTTGTGCATTTCTTTCACTTTAAAGACAAAAAGTACAATCTAGTTCAACTAAAAACAGATCTATTGATTCTCAATGGATTCTTTTCAGACAAGTTGAAAGAACAGTGGACCACTTTGGATCGCGAATATTCTATGGAAGAGCAGGGTTTGAAACTCATGCTGAAAACGAACAACGATAAGAGAATCGAGAAACAAAGCAAGAGTGTATTCGACAACTGGGAAAACGTGCTATTCGGCAGAAATATATCTGCCATGGAACGATATTACGAGAATTTGAGTTGCTTCATCGTGACTCGGTGTGTATTTTTTTCAATGTTAATTTTTATATACTTTCAATATTGCATGCACACAGAAATTGTTCTGATGTGATTCTAAACGATTCTCATGTGTTTCAGTACTACCTGGGACAAATTCGTAAGTTCTGAGGACGACGCGACAACAATTCCGGTTGGATGGATAATGCCTGAGAAACCATCTTCTGCTGCATGGCAAAAATGTCTCGCTAAGGAGAGTTCTTGAGTGAATGACGTTACATGACGATACGTAAACTTAAGGAAAATAGGAAAGAATTTGCTATGACCATTTTGCAAATTAAATTGTGCGAATTACATATCTCGGTAGTGTTCTTTACTAATCTTAATCCCGCGAAAAGAATGCACACTTGGAAAAACGATTTCCATATTTACAAGTTAATCATACTTTTTCCACGAAGTAATTAAAAAAAAACTTTTTTTTATTTTTATAACACTTATCTGAGAGACACATACGATACATTCACGTAACGCGAAATTTATGTACATTTTTTTACAAGAAGATTTATAAAATTTACGACGAGATAGGAATAAAAATTTACAAAGAAATTTATTTACAAGGAACATTGATTAGTTTTGTTTGAATCTTTTTTATGTTATACTCAGAACAAGATCGCGCTCCGTTTGCGCAGCATCTGACGGTTCCATACTCTGGTTATTTTTCGTGCCGCTCGAAGATGCGGTTTCAGCGGTCGAAGTTGTGAGTTCGGCCGCGGATAGAATCGCCTCTACTGCACCCTGTAGTTGCGCCAATGACATCATCAGCTGTATCTCCTCTTGCAACTTCTGCGCCATTATAGTGAACATCTTACGTGGCTCTTCCCCGAGCTCATCCAGATGATCCTCATACACATCTATCGAATAGGATTAAATCTTGTCAATTAAGAAAACGTAACGCATCTTGATATTTTTTCTCAGATAGCGCAATCTTCTATAACATAGACCTACCCAGCAAGAGGTCGGTCACCTCTATCAATGTTGGACCAAAGTGAATGTTGCCTATGTGCTTATTCAGGAACTTGATAATGTTCACCAAAGATTTGTTGTCCCTGCCAGCCAAGGCTCGCTCCAGACCTTGTCGTCTGATTAATTCCTGCATAAGCGCTACGGTTACGTGTGGATGTTTGTTGCTCACATAGTTAACCATGACACAGTCAAGCGCCTTGCTGTATTCGAACTTCCGTAAGCAAACATCGTACTTAGCCAGGATATCCCGGCAGTTTTGTTGCTTGGTGGTATTCGACGGAGGAAGAGCTTCACTCACACATTTGTGGGACAAGCGTTTCTTATGATTCATCTTCACTTTGTCTTCCGCGTCCTCCTCGCGTTTTCTGACAGATATCAAACCATCCACCATACCAGCTACGATGGTATGATTGTTCGCCTGCAATTTAACGTTAGATTATTTAATTAATCTACAAATATTAAATGCGGCCCTTTCAATTCAAATGTGTAAAAGAATGACGAGTGAGAGCAACTGCAACTGCCCACATTTGTATTAATCAGTCTACGTCTATATATTTTTTTCTAAGTGAGCTGATTAAACAATCATACATCTCATTAAACATCAAATAAGTATAATAGAATAAAGAATAGGAAGATGAATGCTTATCACAGATCTCAATATGTAGTGAAAAGTGCGTCTTTCTGCTTACGCTGATTCCTATGCTGAGAACCGCGTTGGGATAATCTAAAGTGTGAAGAGTGTTGTATGTTCCGGCGTCGTAAATTTTCACATGCTTATCCAATGAACCGGACAATATCCTATCACCGTTGGAAGTTACTTTTAGGCATGTCACCGTTTTGTGATGTTGCGTGATTTTTGCAAGTAATCTGCCACGCATAAAAGCGTCGTATACTTTGATATCTGTCCCTCCTAAAAGACACAAATAAACAATTAATATTTTTATATATGAAGAGACAATAAAGACAGAGAGAGTAATTCTTTAAAATCTTAAATTGTGCATAATTATTATACAAATTAGAAATCAATCTTGCATACAATGAAAAGGCTTTAAAAATCTAACAGGAAAATTAAAAAAAAAAATAAGAGCTAAATGTTGGTCTTATAGCAAAATAAAAGTCAACTTTAACTTTTAAATCTATAAGACCAGCACTTGACTCATACTTGCCTATTTTTTTCTAATTTTCTAGATTAAGAACCTTTAGAGCCTTTACTTTTCATAGTATGCAAGATTAATTTTTAACTAATTTGTATAATTGTACATAATCTAAAAATTTGAAAATCAATTTTGGCTTTGACTTTACTATAAAACCAGCATTTGGCTTTTGTCTGTTTATATATGTCATGTCTATTGTTACATTATGTTATGTAACAAATCGTTACATGGTTAAATCGGAGATCATAGATACTTTACCAGCAGCAAGGAATATCCCTCCAGTTGGCAGGAATAGTAAACTTTCCACAGGTGCATCATTATTTACACTGAATGCCTTCTTATTTGTTCTGGTATCATACATGTGTATGTATTTATCATAACCACCAGACAATATTATATCAGTAGATACAGGATTAGTTGCACCAGCTCTGATATACTCTGTATGATCATTATAACTTGTTACTTGCTTCTCACTGGGTATATCCCATAATCTCACAGTTTTGTCATCTGAGAATGAAGCAATGTGAACATCATCAGCTGTGAAAAAAGTTCTGTGTACAGCAGCGCTGTGTCCTGAGAAGAGGCGCAGCATATTGTTAGAATTGACATTAAAAAGTCTGACAACTGCTTCCTCCCCACCAACACATAGTAGTTTTCCATCTTTGCGAAAGCAACCTCCATACGCAGCCTCTTTGAATTTACTAAAAGTTTTTGTGACTAACTTTGTGATGGGATTGTACACTTGCAATCGTACTGAGCATGTGACTGCGAAATTATATGGTTCAACTGGTGAGAAATCAATGTAGTCAATTGCACCAAATTCTTTCACCAAAACTGGAGACTGCAAACAATTTTCATATATAACGTATCATTCTACATATAAAATCAAAAGGTTTATTCTTTTTAGCTAAATTATGTTGTACTTTTTATCTTCAAAGTAAAATAAGTATATAACTTATACTGAGAAAAGAAAACTTGAAAATTTAAATAAACATCATGTGTCACAAATAAATTTTCAAGTATTTTTCTCAGCGATCGGTCAATTTCGTAACAATAAGCCGGAATAACCAGCCAGTTAACCAAAATTAATAAAAACAGGCATAAAAGTTGTGTTAACTTGTAAAACGAAATCTGCAAACTTCGTAGGTTAACCTGTAAACTCAATTGAAATGGTTTAATTCTAAATGAAAAGAAGAAAAGACCTATTAAAACCAAATTGCGAGATCAAAATTATTCGTGAATATTGTCTCCAAATAGAGTGCTAAGACATGTCCGGCTCGTTTACAGGTTATGTCTCGAACACGTGAACATAATTCTAACAATAATCACAATTTTCTTTATTAGATCAAAATCTGAAAATACATACCGTGTACTTCTTCCAATATATATTATCTTCTGTCAATTCTACTCCCGTCCTGGTTAACGCTTTATAATTTAATTTTTTGAAAGACGCCATCCTAGAAATGATTAACTTTTAATATTTTGTTGGTAATATTAGCTTTGACTCTCTCTCTCTCTCTCTCTCTCTCTTTGGTTGTAAGCCTGTACTCGGTGGCTTTTTCACCACAACTTAGGGGTGCGTTCAGATTCCTCATCCGGGTGCACTCTATTACTAGAAACAATATAGTATATGTGACATATACTATAGCACTTCTAGTAATAGAATACACCCGGGTGGGGAATCTGAACGCAGCCTAGAATGGGAGTTTAAATATAAAGAAGTTTTATAGGTTTTAATTTATTTTTTTGTAGGAAATTAAGAAAGAGATTGGTAAAGTTATTGGAAAAGATTGCAGCCTCCAAATCTTGGATATTTTGAATGTTAATGGGTACTTCCGAAATGTTCAGGGTTGGGTCAAGTTGAGTTATTGGCTCCTGCACACAGGACGCGGTAATGCTTGCCGCGCGGCAGAAGTCCGCGCGACAGCCAATCAATATGTTGTTTTTCCGTAAGAACTAGAAAGTTATTACGGAAAGCAACATATTGATTGGCTGTCGCGTGAACTTCCGCCGCGCGGCAAGCATTACCGCGTCCTGTGTGCAGGAGCCATTATAGCATGTTCGACTGGCTCGGGGTTAACCCACTTATAGCGTATGGGAATAACCTTTTCCCCCGGAGCCATTACAGAACAGAACAGAACTGAGTTAACCCACTCTGGGTTATTCAGCCTATGTTTATGGTCGAACAAGTACTTATAAGCTTTATGGTTGGCTACTAGAGACTTATGACGTCATTAATCGCTCTCGGATTAACTCAGAGCCAGTCAAACACGCTATATGAATATCGGCCTATACATACACACACATTATATATATAATATATATATAATATATATATATATAATATATATATATAATATATATATATATATAAAAGACTACAAAATAAGCATATTAACTGCCACTATGTGCTTAAAGCGATAGTAATTGGGACAGTTACGATTTAGTTATCACTTCCCAGATAGCACAGAGAATTCTAGAAGAATTCAGTCATATATCACCAATTCTGAGTTCATTTTTAGATGCAAAAAGAATTCTTTTCACTGAACTGAACTCTGAAGAATTCTTTTTACATCTGAAAATGAACTCAGAATTGGTGACATACGACTGAATTCTTTGTGTTATCTGTATTTTCATGTTTCACAAGTTCACATTTCGCGAGTGCAAAAGTGTTACACTTGGTTACACTTTTCACGAATTTACGCTAGGGGAAAAGATTCATGATCGCTACCCAGTTAAATAGTGCAGTTACAAAGAACAAACCTTTAAAAAATATTGTGTAGAGATTTTTCTTGGCATCAACATTATCCCCTTCACTTTTCAGGAAATTGTCGCCTAGCCATGCAGAAGTTCTTCGAAAAGGAACAAACCTCCAGTTTAAGACCCTTGCACAATGCCAGACTACAGGCAATAGAAATAAGCATTAGCTAATAGGAATAGAAATAATTGACCAATCCGAATTCTTATTCCCTATTCCTGGAGTAATGGCGTTGGGGTTTGAGCCGTGGCAGCGCCTCTAACTAAGTATTGAAGGAAAGAAGGAAGGATTCCCTGTTCCTATTGCCTATTGCCTGGCATTCTGTAAGGACCTTTATTCTGGTCGACATGCGAGGGGGGGGGGTGCGGGGAGCAGACGATTGTCCGCGGAGCGGGAGGAAGGGATTGGTGGGGACATCAAGCTGATGTTGACAGCTAGTGGAACGCGCGTGGTCAAAAAACGCTCGTGAATCGTCGCGCACGTGTAGTCGACGGGTCCGTAGGTCCGTTGTCATGTCGTCAGAGTGACGGGCACCCGTCCGCTCGCTGAGATACCATAATATGAACTATGCGACGACGCTCCACGGACGGTCTCGAGTTAGTAGGCGCTGAAGTGTAATACCACATTATACGTATATATGCGAGTTAGTGCCGCAACATGGCGGTGGTATATACGACCCGTGCGTTTCTCCGCTCATCATGACTACGTCATGCCGTTCTGGCTGCCCGCATTCCTGTCGTGTCCACGGCTCCCTGGCACTCGCAGTCCCACGAGCACGACGTCCGTGATCGAGCCGTGTCCGTCCACGTCGCAGCCGAACGAGGTTACAACGCCAAGAGAGAGAGATAGAGTGACGTGTTGCGGAACAAGGGACGAGTCGGACGAACGAACGAACGAACGAGTGAGCGAGCGAGCGAACACAGTCGACGGCGACGATTGCTACTGTTACTGATCCGTCTCTGCCTTTGTACGATCGTTCAGGTATGCTGGCGACCGCGCCGATATCGCACATCACTTCGTTCCGCGACACGCGTTTTTCACACGGGAGATCGGTCTGAATGGAATAATTCCGCGATTAATGATCGCTTATCGATCGGTCAGAGATCATAATGACGAGAGTTCTCATTTTCGAAGGACGGTCCAAGGAGATGTCATCGAATCGACGCGACTGTCCGTATAGCGACGCAGTGATGCTTAGAGAACGTTGGGAGAAATGCTTACAAAAAGAGACATAGAAACTGAGGGGGGAGAGAGTTTCAGCCTTCTTTATGAGCTCTCGAACTTTTGTGTTCGAATTGTTTGAGAACACAATTGATATTCTCTTACTTAAAATTCATTAATGAAATAATTCAGATTAAATTTTTACAATAAAGTAACATGGTTGAATTAACAAAAATAAATGACATTCCTTGGATATAATTAAAGTCCTGTTATTATGTTTCTTTGTTTGTATCGAGTTGTGATCTGGTGATAAAAAGAAAATTTAAATTGTGAAAACTTTTAAATATACTTTGTATATTCTTTGAATATACATGTATACACTTGTCATATCTTTGTGGACATATTATTCAAATTCTCAGTTTTATATAAACATAGTATTTATATATTGTATATAAAATATATACATATGTATATATATATATATATATATATATATATATATATGTATATATGTATATAATAAAATTTTTACATTGCCAGCAAGCAATTAAAAAAATTCATATTAATTAAGTTCTCCATTGATTATTTCAGCTTGTTAGAGCAGCTGATTTGAAGATACATCTCAGTGAATGCACCAGTCCATCTGTTAGTCATATAACTACATTTTGAATACTATTTCATAACATAGCAAATCATTACTGTGATGAGAAAGTTTATACTTGACTTTCCACACGAACGGAACAGTTTGTTAAACTATAAACACGACTAGGCACTTGCATGAAACAAGAGTAAGGGAGTAGGTAGATCAATTAACAAATCAAGAATTTATTAATAGATTTGTCTTTGTCTTATAAGTAGTATGCTTGTACAAAGTCCTATTTCTATGAATGACATTGTCAAGTGGTTATATAGGGTTTTTATTAGCTACAAACAAATTTAACTGATACAATATATATATATTTATATATATATATATATGTGTATATATATATATATATTTATATATATATATATATATATATAGCAATATCTGAAATCAAAATCAAGAAGGAGGGGCAAGTGACTGTGTCAAAAGTCCACATCAGCACTCAAAGCTGAATCTTGCCTGCCTCTCCCTGCTTTATTATTGCTGACTAATTGAAGCTGACTCTTCATGAAGAGAAGTGGACTTTCCATAGCAGAGCTCAGCAGTCTCAGCCTAGTTATAGCCATCGTTAGACCATAATAGTTATTATTAAAGCTATTCATTTCTAGTTCGGATTCAATTTGACATATTTCTGGATGTGTTACGACATGATAGTGGGTTTGTTTATCACTCTCAATATAATCTGCCGAAAAAGTTCTGTAAATGATTAAATAAATGAAGTAGACAATTGGAAAGAGATTTAAGAGGAGGAAAGAGGGAGAGAGAAAGAGAAGACGCTAAAAATAGGTCTGATAGCTCATAAGAAATTGACTTATGTATCACGGAACGTTGTTCAAGTTGTATATTGATTGTAATATACAATCGTGCGAAAATCATTTGAGATAAGTGATCGCATCCAGTGTTGTTTTTACACTCACTTACGGGACTTCCAGTTCAGTAATACTCATTGTTCCCTGCAAGTTGCCTGAATACCGTAGCGTCTGTTGAGTAAACTTTTTGATAATGGCCGAGACACAAAGAGCAACGGTGTACGGGCGGCATCCTCCGTGCGCGAGCGGCAGCAGACTGGAAGAGCGTCGCGCCAAGAGGTAAACACAGATCTCGTTAACGCGATTTTCGCGATTTTCGCACGATTCGTGCAGATTCCAGAGCGTCATAATGAGTTTGCCATTGCTTGCCCGCAGATTGGCGTTACGACACGAGAGGAATCGGAAGCCGGACAAGCCGGACGACTTTGTCTGTTATGAGTCGAGCGACGACGAAGCGGAGACCGTCACCGAAGGCAAGCAGTTCCTGAGAACTTCGTTCAACTTCGTGGATTATGTGCGCGCCCGCGAAACGAACACGCGTGAAGTACGGAAGATCAATCAAGAATACGGCTCCCGGCATATACTGACGCACGACCTCTTTAAGGAATATTCGGTCAGCCTGAACAATATGAACAAGGTATTTTGTTCGCAGTGGTTGAGTGACAGACAAGTGGTATTCGGCACCAAGTGTAACAAGCTCATGGTGTACGACGTGGCGACGCAAAAGCTCGACCAAATCCCGTCGCTTCACGGAAGACAGCTCAGTCCAGGCGGCAGCGTCGTTCCGGAGCAGCAATGCGGTATCCACTCCGTTCAAATCAATCCTTCAAGGTAACGTTACTGAAACCTATATTGCACAAAGATTGTTGGAGATAGACTTGTCACAGATTAAAGATTGAAATCTAATAGTCTGATATTTAATCGCGAGTCTCAAGTCGCACTTTTCACGCCGTGTCACAGTGGTAGACTAGTTTGAGATCAATTTCTAATTTGTTCTCTCCTCATTTGCAGAACCCTTTTATCCACCGGCGCGAGAAGTAGTAACGAAATAGCAATATACAGATTACCGACGCTGGATCCGGTTTGCGTCGGCGAGACCGGTCATAGAGATTGGGTGTTCGACATGTGCTGGTTGGACGACGAGTTTCTAGTGTCGGGTTCTAGAGACACGAAGATGGCTTTATGGCGTATCGACAGCGACCTCGCTGAAGCTCCCGACAAGGCAGACGTACCTACACACAGGTATGGCAATTAAGTACAGACTTCTTTGTCACGAAAGGCCGTGTATGTATCTACTGTATCTATCTGTCGCTCCGCGCGAGCAGGTTGATTCGGCCGGTCTGCGTGAAGGAGTGCAAGTCAGCTCAGAAAGTACGGGCGTTGGCGTTCAATAAGGCGTACAAGGAGATTGCAGCATTGACGCTCAATAGTTACATACATATCTGGTCGGCCGAGTCATTCAAACAGAAGATATCTAGAAAACTGCCAGCCTGTCAGGAGAACGTTTGTCTTGCCGTACAGGACGACGGTGTTTACGCAATTGGATGCCGGTCATATACTCTTCTTTTGGACGCACGTACATTGCAGCCGATCAAGAAAATACCGTCGAGGTAAAAAGAAAGGGAAATACGAGAGTCTTTCTCTTGCCCCGATAGACCTCGACTTCGCGCGATAACGCGAACTTAATGTCGATATAGATACAGCGGCTGCGGCATTCGGTCTGCTAGTTTCCAAGGATCTGTTTTAACCATCGGGACCGGGCTGGGGATGCTAATGTTTTACGACGTGAGAGCTCAGAAATATCTAGAATCTTCTATCAACTCCAACAGAACTGTTGTGCTGAAAGCTTCGAAAGGATACGTGGTGAGTTACATATAAATTATATATATAATATGTGTGTGTGTGTGTGTGTACATAGGGTGAGGAAAAAGTATGGAAACCCTGAAAAATCTCAAAAAATATAAGTTTTACAGAAAAATGTTTCAAATAAAAGTTGTAGGATTTAAAAAGGTTTATTCAATAGTCTCATCAGTTTGACCCTGGCTGGCGTCGTTAAGGTGAAGTCAAAGTCACCTTAAATTTTTTAAATGGAACACCCTATTTTTTATTGCATATTCTTATAGTCCTTCTCAATACCTTTTCAAAGTACTATAATTTTATTCATTTTGGGTCAGCCGTGTCAAAGTTATTGAGTATTTTACAGTAAGAAGTAATAGACACCCGAAGACAAGGTTTACATGATTTACGTCGTCGAATCCTTGATGAAGCTGCGCTCATTCCCAGGGGTTACATCAGGAACGCTGTTTCAGGATTTTACAATTGGCTAGCACACTGTCAAACTGTGAATGGTGAACATTTTGAAAATTTATTATAAATTTTTATTATAAATTTAAAGATAGATCATCCTCCGATCTTGCCTTAGTTGGCTGGATCATCCTCCGATCTTGCCTTAGTTGGCTGGATCATCCTCTGATCTTGCCTTAGTTGGCTAGGTCATCCTCCGATTTTGCCTTAGTTGGCTAGATCATTCTCCGATCTTGCTTTAGTTGGCTGGATCATATTCCGACCTTGTCTTCGGGTATCTATTACTTCTTACTGTAAAATACTCAATAACTTTGAAACGGCTGACCCAAAATGAATAAAATTATAGTGCTTTGAAAAGGTATTGAGAAGGATTATAAGAATATGCAATAAAAAATAGGGTGTTCCATTTAAAAAATTCAAGGTGACTTTGACTTCACCTTAACGACGTCAGCCAGGGTTAAACTGATGAGACTATTGAATAGACCTTTTTAAACAACTTTTATTTGAAACATTTTTCTGTAAAACTTATATTTTTTGAGATTTTTCAGGGTTTCCATACTTTTTCCTCACCCTGTATATATCTCCACGGCTAAAACCCACACGTGATGAGAAAATATTCGTAATAATAGACAACAGATCGTCACGCTTGTCGTGATATGTCTATAAATAGTCTATAAATATGTCTATAAATAGTTGTATATGTAAAACTATAATAATGTATTGTGTATTATGAACGTCTTTAATAAGATAACTTCTGTCATATTATCAGGAAAAAAGTGGATGAAAATTTACGCAAAATTAGCCGTGAAAATAAATTTAAGTAAAATAAGATGAAAGAGACGAAATAAAAAAAAGTTAAGCAAAATAAAATAAAACAACCAAACAAACTATTACTAGAGCAAAAAAGTAAAATTCAGCTCACCAAAGATCAAAAGTAACATTGCATTATTTTGATGAGGAAAACATATATCTATATATACTATGCGCAATACAGAAATTCTAGAAGAACCCCGAAATTTTAGAATCAACATGAGACGGATTGAGTGTGTTATAGTACGGTCTGTGTTACATTGCGACATAACTCATGCGTTCATTTCTTGGAACAGTTTCCGGACGAAGAGTACATCGACGGTTTCCAAAACGTAAAATACACTCCTGCTATTTACACACACTGTTACGACGCATCCGGTACTCGACTATTCACAGCAGGCGGTCCATTGCCTGCAAATCTCTACGGTAACTACGCAGGATTATGGCAATGAAGGTTTACTACTAAACGAAATATATAGTAATTGATAAATTAAATTTATTATTACGTAAGCTGTATGTCGTGAAATGCTTGACCGTGTTATCCGAGAAATTAACTTGGATACTACCAGTATGTATTTAATATTTCTTATTAATTTAACGCATATATATATATATATATATATTATATATCTATATGTATTCTTGAATGGGAGGAGCCAGGTACAGAAATTTCTCAAAAACACGCTCGCGCCTTTCGACTCTTGTTAATTTTGTTTTTTTTTTTACATTTTCTTAACGCTTATAGTTAAGCGTAATTCATTTTATATACTATTAGAATTTATTCATAATATAATATGATTAAAATTTCTGTTATATTAAGTATTTCTATCACAGTGAAAGAAATTATTATCTTTTTGATTTTATAAAGAATAATTTGATTAGAAGGTCGTAGCGCGGTTGCATATTGTTCTTTTAATATCAATATTCAGGTAACCGCGATAATTCGGCATTCCAAATTAACATAAGATTTAATATGTCTGTTTAGTTTACAAGATCTTTATTGTAACGTATATTTAATTTTCTACAAGAAGAAAAAATACAAAATTATTATAACGATGTTATTGAATAAAATTATCGAGAAGTCGATTTTTAAAGAATGTCACAATAATTATTGGTAAATTGATAAATTTCAGTTTTACCCTTCAAGTTGTTTCAGAGATAATGGAATGCCGAATTTAACCCTTTTATGACAGTTTGTTATGACAGAATGATTGCCGTGTGGACCGTGTATACAAACAACCAACCCGTTGCTAAAGCATTACATTGTTGCATAATCGAATCTGTTGCTATAAAGCCTGGGGCTCGATTCTTGATATGCGAATGAGATATGCATGCGAAAATATATAGTTCACGTTACGTATACTGTAGATTTTCGCATGCGTATCTCATTCGCACACCGTCAAGAATCGGGCTTTTAATCTACAATATGCTCTTTGCGTTCTGTTTCTTGTCTTTTGTCTTTTTCTGGCTTAAAACTTAAGGTGTGAGTCAGAAAGAGATAAAGAAACAAGAAGCAAATAACACATTGTAGATCAAGCTTAACGGTTCGTCGTTTCTTTTCACAATGTGACGAGGTAACAAGTATAAGCTCTACCCGCAACAAAGTGCACACATTCGCATTTCGCTCTCCCATATGATAACACTTTTTGGCCAGCTCCGTTGTGGCGGAAAGATTAACGAGAAAAATATACAGGGTGATTTAGAAAATGAGTCACGGAATACAATGTGCGTAAAAGAAAAAAAAGAACAAACTTAAAAATTAAAACTGTCTGTATACATTTACTCGAATTTTTTTTTTCATCCTGTATCTCTGATTGTTTAATTTCCAACAAATCAAGAGGAATGAACTAAATAGAGGGAGTATAGATGAAACGTAATATTATCAATTATCTGTGTATTTTATCGAGGAACTTCATATACTAAAAAGATGATAAATTTTGTCATACATTTTCGATTTATTTACTTAACTATCGTACTCATGTCGAATCGTTTGTCGTCCAATTTATCGTTGTCTAATTTCTCATTCTCGTCCGGCCTTTTCTGCCTAGTTCGTGCCCATATAGAGTAGAAATAAATATTAGATGATATATAAAACTCTTAAGTTGTTAAACAAGCGAAATTGTGATTAATTCTATATGCGAATATGATGTATATTGTGTATTGTATGCGTTGTTACAGCCGCGTCGGAATGTTATTTGTAATGCAATTAGCCGAGATACGCTAGATCTATATATCGCGACGATTTATTTATCCTAATTTCATTTATTTAAAATATAACACGTAAATATAACACGTGTGGATTTCTCTGGGAGAAAAAAGAAATACGAATCGGGTTGACTAAATAGAAATGACAGAGGTTCTCTCCGTCGCATTACGAAAGTTTCTTTCTGTATTGAGACATTATGTTACACGCATGTAAAACGGTACAAATGGACGTTCGGGAAAGATGTTTATCAACGAACTATAGCAATGAATATTAAGTTTCACAAGATACAATCTATCGAGTTGAAGTTGCAACACCGGCCTCGAAACAATAAACATGCAATGAACTTTTAGTGTGCATAAACTTACCTTAGCATAATAGTACCAATAAAATTTTTAACTACATATTGCTATATCTCGTGTGTATTACGACATCGCAAGTCCTAACTAATGGAATTTTTTATTGTAATTAATGTATGTTAGAACGATAGAGCGAATGTGAGAGCGAGCGAGCAAGCAAGCGAGAGAAAGAGAAAGAGAGAGAGAATGTGTTATCCAATAACTATATAATTTAAAAAGAAAAAAAAAGAATCTGAAATTGATAGCGCAATAATCCTAAGAATAATTTCATTTAACGAGGAAACACATGAAAATGTGCCCTCGTCGATCTCGATGGGCTTTGGATATGCTGTAAAATAGTTAAAAATAAGAGACGCGTATTTTTTATTTGTGTACATACACAAAATACGTATATCTTATCTTTAGCCAATTCGCAACATACATGCGGGGGTGATCACGTGTGCGTGTCTTTCCTCGCAAGAATATATTTGATATTGATTTGCCTGTATCGCGCGGATTTAGTCGAATCTTCCCCCAGCGTTTTCAATTGTAACTATATAGTATCGAGTTTAATGCGAAATATAATCTAACTGTTCAAGTTTGACCAAGCTCGTTGCCAAGCGTGTCGCCTTTTCGTCACAGCGGCACGCTCGAGAGTATTATCGATTACGAAGCGCGTGCATTTAAAGCAAAAAAAAGAAAGGGATACGTCGGTATGCTCGGTCTGTGATCGTACAAGCGCGTTTGTTGTGTGCAATCGAGAGAGAAGCATTTGTTTCTATCATAATATATCATGATATATATCGCGTATATATACACACACCTAGATGTATACATACATACATACAAAATCCATCAAGCCTCATCTTCTCTCTCTTACAAAGTATCTCTTAACGATAATAATTAATCGATATAGAGAGTCCGACTATTTTCGATTTTAGTCGAACAAGCTCAATTCAGGAAGCAAGCCTCCCCTCGGTTAGTGTGTCTCTGCGCGTGTATGTGTGTGCGTGCGCGTCGATATGCGGTCGATACTTAAGCAAGACATATAACTAATCGTTCATCACGAGAATTATCGAGAATACCAGCGACATATGTTTCTCTAGCGTATCCTAGCGAAAAGAAAATCAAGTGCGTTCATTCACACCAAATCAGAAAAGATTCGCGATCGACGTTGTATCGTTATTACCGTCGTGTAATTCGGTATACACGAATGTGTGTTTGTGTGCATGCATGCTAACAAAAATATCTTTCCGACTCGCGTACTATGAGATTATTTACGTTGTTAACGTATAATTATCGGAAGTCACGATACTATACACGTAAATAATAGGTAAATGTGTGCATCGTATCCGATAGCTCTGTAGTCCCCCCCCCCCCCCCCC